CTCAGGGCAAGTGTAGTAGTCATCACAAACCGTGGAAGGCTTTGCTGGAGATGGAGGAGATGGACCGGGGTTAGGAGGATTCTGACCGCTCTTGGTAGGGTACGAGGGCTCTATTGCAATCCCACATTTCCCAGTAGATGTATTGGCCACATTTCGCTCCAATCTGATGTACCCATTCTCTCCCCAGTTGGGACCCCACGAGTTCCTCACAATCCAATAATCTACCCCATCTTTGGTACCGTACCCAACAGCAACAACTCCATGGTCTAGGTCCGTTCCACACAGTCCAGTGAAAACACCCTGAACAATTCAAATTTCAAATAGAAGTCAATGCTTGAGCTAGTAATGTCATCTTGAGCATGTTAAAAAAAGAAGTTATCATTAGTCTCCCATCAACGTCCACTTTGATGAAGATTGCTCCATTCCAAGGGTAGCTACATTTCAAATGATAGATCTTAAACTTTACCTTCCTCCCTTAGAATCCCTCCGGGAAATTTGAACCTTAACCTGGGCTCATTGACTAAATAGTAGTGTACTAAGCGAGGGAAGGAAAACCAATTAGAATGTCACTGTGCCAAGAGAAAAAAACAATCTGTGATAAGATCATACCGACTGGTAATGTTGAAAAGCTCTGCCCCCAGCTTCAATGGCGACACTAACAGGTTGATTTGCCACAGCCTTCTTCAATGACTTCTCATCATTTGTCGGAACATCTTCATAACCATCGATGGAAACAACCCGAGCATTTTTCTGATAAAATATAAAAGAAGATAATCATACAACACAAGGTAATTTAGACTAGTCAACAAGAAATGATATTCATCTAAATCAAATATATTATCTTTTTTGGTTACAGATTCAACTAAAACACATACTCTATTCTGATCACATCTGCCATCACGACCTCTGTAAGGGTAATCTTTCTCAGTATCAATTCCACCATTGTTGATGATGAATTGGAAGGCATAGTCCATAAGACCACCATTGCATCCCTGGTTATAAGACTTATCACATTCCACCAGCTCCTGCTCTGATAAGGATACTAACTCACCTGTTGCTATCTGATTTACTCCTTCCACAGCAGCAACCGTTGAGAATGCCCAGCAACTCCCTTCATTTGAAATCGATAAATTTAGCAGAGTTATTCAGTCAGTCAATCAATCAATCAAATAAAGGATGACAGGTGCAATTGCCTTCTTCTAATTTAGACAATTTGTGTTGTAAGAAGTTGGCAATGGTCAAGATCCTAACAATACTTGAACTTGGTCCAAGGACAAGGTGTGACCTTTGGCAGAAAGCACAAAACTGATAGCATGTTAAACTATCCAAAAATCTGAGACCTACCCCACCCCCCATCCCCCCTAAAAAAAAAAAAACACCACGCACTCAAATAAAACTCCTAAGCTAGCCTAAGAAACAAACACAAGCATAACACCAGACGCTAAGCCAACTATGAAAAAAAAAAAAAGCCACGAGACAGTTAATAGGGTAAAGATATGGCTGTCAATACAAAAATGGAGCCTGTTGAGTGTCCAATGTCGCGTTCAACAATCAATAAAGCAAAAAAAACAAAGGGTCATGTTCGGAGAGGTTGTTTTTTTTTTTGGTAAAGCACTATTACAAGGAGTGGGACAACGAGATTCACATCTATAACCTTAAACTCCAACAGCGGGGCGTTGACCATTAGTTCAACCGCTAACCTCATGTTCATATAAATTTAAAAAGTTGTTTTCCTATTTATAGGAAGCAAAATATGTTTTTAGATTAAAATATTGATTTTATGGAACTTTTATGCTTCTATAGAAAACAAAAACAACAAACAAAATTACCCTTTTTCATAAAAAAGAAATATAGTTGAAGATCAAAAGACAATTCTTCTGACATCTCCATATGTTTTTCATTGTAACAAAACTATTGTGCTCACCCACAAAAGCAACATAACAAATCCAAACGTAGCCTGTCTTTACCATTTTTTTTTTTTTTTTAAATCATAGGAATGAATACATACTGACCTTGACAACATCACAGAATGCTGACAATTCTAATAAAGACAGGAGTTGAATTTTAAACCCTAAGAGAATCTTCAACGGGATAGCTAAACTCAGCTTGTTAGTTATTTTACAAAAATTTTGGCTCCAACCGGCTAGCTATCACACTCGGTATTACCCATTTTGCTATACACGCTCGTTGGATCTGGCGAGAGAAAAAACTAGCTATTCAGATCGTCTTCATCACAGATCGTCACAGCATCGTCTTCATCCAGAATCGTCTTTATCACAAATCGTGTTCGACTTCATCCATCGTCTTCATCATAGATCGCGTTCGGCTTCACAGCATTGTCTGATTTAATAAGGTAATATTTCTTTACATTTTTCCTTTGTCATTGTTTAGTTTATACCCACATCCACAATGTTGCTGCTCAAAAACCTTCATTGCAAATATGCTGCTGCATTCTCTTTACCCACATCCACATCCACGAATTTCTTGGTAGCTTCTTGGCCTTTTTTTCAAGGGGGAAATAAAGAAGAAGCTCTTTTAAACAAAATATGGAAAATGTTGGATTAAGTGAAACCAAATGGGGCCTTATTGTTTGAATCTTTTTGCTTGTTAGTAGTAATTGATCCATTAATTGGTTAAGATAGCATATGGGTGTTGTGAATGTGGAAACAGAGGGAAAGAAATTCGTCACCCTTTTGATTCATTTGCTTTTGTTTCTAGCAAATGACCTTGAACTACTTAGAACAGGATTGAATCGGAGCCTTAGGCTTTGTAAATGATTTTTCTTGTTGGTTAATTTCACTTTGAGTGTGCAGCGGATGGACTTGTTCATCTGTATGGACTTGTTCTCTAATATTTTTATGAAAGATGGTCATAACTCATTGAGGTCATCTTTACTTTTGTAGCCCATCTTTTATGATATTTACTCTTGTAGCTAAATGTATCTGGTTTTAGAAGGTCTCTCCAAGTGCACAACTGTGCGGTTGGAAGATTCTCAGGGTTGCTATGCCCATTGATTCTAGCGTGCGCAGTTTGGGTGTTTCTTTAGTAAGCAGATGCAGTCTCTGTTTGGAGTAGGAAGAGAATTTTACTCATATCTTTATTGACTGTAATTTTGCTAAGGAAGTATGGGTGAGGCTAGCTGCTGTAATGGGGTTTGAGTTGATTGATGGAGAATCTCCTACGTCAAGGTTTCTGAGGCTTAACAGGATTTTTAAATCTCAATCGTTGAGTCATGGTCTTATTAGAGGGGTGCCTCTTTTACTGTTTTGGGCCTTGTGGAAAGAAAGATGTAGAAGGAGACATGATGAGCGATATTTGAATTCTTATGCTGTGTTTATGCAGGTAGTAAGTTCTCTGCGCTTTCTGGTTTTCTCTATCAAGCCTAAGAGTGCTGATGATTTTAAAGGAAAAGAGGTATTTACTGACCTGAGAATTAGTTCTGCAGATGTTGTTATGACGAAGGCTATGTGGATCATATGGGAGCCTCCCCCCGCTGGTACTTTGAAGCTCAATGTTGATGGTGCTGCTAAGGGATTAACTGGTCTGTCAGGAGGTGGTATGGTTATTAGAAACCCAGAAGGACATGTGGATGCAGCTGCAGCTGCATTTTACAACAGAGGTTCGAATATGCAAGCAGAGTGCAAACCTTTGTTGGATGGTATTAACTTGGCTCTGCAATACAGCCTGGGCGATTATCAAATTTTTATTGAATCTGATTCGCAAGTGCTTGTACAGATGATTTTGGGAAAGGCAGCTGTTCCTTGGAGGTGTAAGCCTATTTTAGATCAGATTTGGAGTTTGTTTAAGAGGCTTAAAGTCAGGATTCGACATATATATAGGGAAGCTAATGCCCTTGCTGATTTTCTGGCTTCTCATGCTGTGCGAATAGGTTGCTGTGTTGACTTTACTGCCTCTGGATCATTACTTGTGGATGGGAAGTTGGTGGTGCACCAAGATCAGAGTTTACTGCCTGTGCTGAGGAAGAAGAAGCTTCTGGTATTGAGGAGGGAAAGTGGATTTTCTGGAAGCAATAGAGATGGATTTATGCCTTCTTGAAGAATTAAAGCCAACTTCCATTTTCAATTTTGTAATGTTTTGATTTGCTTGAGTTTTGTAAGCTGTGATGCTCTTTGATTTTTGTAATTTTTTGATTCATATCAATAAAATTTCTTTCTTTTAAAAAAAATTAATATTTATTCTTGTAGCCCATAATTGATTAAATTTATACGATGTATAATTAAATTGTTATTTTTTGAATTTTATTATTGAAAGTTAGTTAAAATTAGTTAAAGTGGTTAGTTAAAATAAATAGCATGGTTGGAGTGAATTTGAAAAAAATGTTAGTTAAAATGGATAATATAATATTTAAATATATTTTGAATAACTAATTTAAATAGTTGGTCGGAGATGCTCTAATATGCTAATTTCAAATTTTTTACCTAAACCTTTTTTCCTTAAATTTTCCATTCAAACAAACAGAACCATCCAAGAGTGCCCCATGATGGGTCCAAGTACCACAGACCCACATGTGAAATCCCATGAGAAAACCATATAGAAGCACTAATTCGTCGCATGGTACTAAATTTTGATACTTAGGCAAAGTCTATTTCAAGAACAGTAAACAGACAATTATCCTCCTGGAGCAAACAGGTGTGTGTATGTATGTATGGTTTTTTTTTTGGGGGCCGCAGGGAGGGGGGCGGAGGGGATGCAAGAACTTCCCTCTCCAACATTGGAAATTAAATACAAGTAGAAGAAGTTTCGAGATATTTATAAATTATTAAATCTCTTACCCAAAATTTTTTCCTCACCGAAAAATTTTCCATATAAACATCCAGGAGGCCCCATAATGAGTCCAATCGAATCAAGACCCACACGTCAAACTCTATTGAAAAAACATGTTCGGTCCCACACCCACATTCAAGTCTCCTTTTCCCATACCCATAACAGTAAAATAATCAAACACAAAGAATTCACACAAGCATATATTCAAACAACATTCAAAACTTACCACACTGGCCTTGATCTTTGACAGAAACCACAGCCCCTTTCTCTCTCCAATCAATCTTCTCCGGCAACTCCTCACCGCCCCGATAAGCATAACGATCGCTCTTAGGCCTCGAAACTCTGGGCTTCCTACCCAACCTCCCACCAACAAACATGGAACGGTACTCCTCATTGGTCAGATCGGCAAACTTATTCAACCCAACCTTGTATGGCCTGTTCTCAGCGTTATGTTCATCGATAAATTTCAAGTTATCTTGGAAGATCTCGAACCGTTTCTCCATTTCTCCTATGGCATTGTACGCTTTTCCATGTTTAACCAGCCACGACTCGTATACCGCCTTGACCTCCTCGTCGGTTCTTTGCGTCTTCAGGCCGTGGTTTTGGTCGTAGCTGATGATGGACATATCCAGGGCTGATGAAAGAACGAAGAAGAAGAACAGAAAGAAAATTAAAGATCTGAGAGAAGCCATGGTTGATGGGTTGGGGGTGCTGGTGGTCTTGCGGGTTGGGGATATGTAGGGGGGGGAGAAAGAGAGAGAGAGGAGTCGTAACTCAGGTTCTCTTTCTTTCCTTGGTTTCACGTCCTTCCTTCTCTATTAGAGGTAGAGAGGCCCGTGGAAATAGAAGTTCTTCTGGCACGAGGTCAGATTTCTCGGTGTCGTACGTCCACGTATCTTTCGTTTACCAATTAGGATGGTCAATCTTTTTTGACCGGCATTGACCACTTAATTTTTAGATTTTTGTTTTTTTTGGGAAAATTACGATGAAACTCTTTCTAATTTTTGATGTTTTATTATAGCCCTCCCTAGTTTATATATATTATACTTGAGTAATGTTTTTTGGACACATTCGACCGATCAACAAATGAAATCTTTTTAAACCACGTATTATTGTATAAACATATGCAAAACTTTTAACCTAACATAATTTGAACTATTACAACCTATTATTCAATTAAGTATATGTTACACACTAGGTTTTCTTTTATTCTACTACAAACTTTTGATACAATTTTCTAAAATATACAGAAACCTTGGTAGGTTATTATGTATACATCTCCCAGCTTTCTCATATCTGAAAAAGGGAAAGTAACGTAGGGTGAGCATCAACAGCTCAGAAGAGTATCTCAATTTTCAAGCAAACGAGTTTGAAAATAGTATAATTTAGCATGATTGGGTAAGAATCCAAATGAGCAGTTGATACATATATGTCAGCAAAACATCATTTCATGTGAAACTGTAACTGATAAATAAAACTGTAAAAGAGAGTTCAGAAAGTTAAGTACAGTGTTACACTGGTGGACAATTCATCCTAATAGACCACTACAGGTTCATACAAACATATGATCCAACCTTTTTGGGGACTTCCACCTCGAAGAAGATACGCTCCCTAGTCAACGTTCAGTACCCAAGTTCGAAGACCAACAGGGCCACCCAGGCATTTATAAACTTAATGAGTACCCTCTACGACCTCAAACTGGAATGTAAACCCTTTTGCCACTCGACCCGTGTGCACTTATATTTTCATAAAAAAAAATCCTGGAGTTTCATTCAATACGAACAATTCAAGCAATACTATTATTTCCAAAACTTTAGTGCAACCTGCACTCTGAAACCCTGCATCCGGGTTCGGATCCAAGTCAATATTCAAAATACCCTATCAGATATTTCAAAACATGCTAAAACATCATAAATAAATTATGAAATAATTTGAAAATAAGTTGGAAAACCATCGTCTGTTCCGGAATTGAGAAACTCTACCCGCTCGGTATTTTGATCTTATATGGGTCAGTATTACATGTATGTGAATATTAGTGGTTAATGAATGTATGGTTTTATAGGAAATATGTCAATTTGGGACGATCTCCACATAGATATTCAGGAATGGGGATATGGTTCCATGGTGGAAACATACGACGAGATGATCAACAGAGAAGCAATAAAGGTACTTCAAGAGAATATTCTGGAGGTCGCTGAGACTTGGCTTTTCCTTCCTTTGAGAAATCAAAAGCTTTTTGTGCAAAATCGAATGACCGGGATGTTAAGGACTGCAAAGAGAGCGATAAGTATAGTTAGAAACGAGAATTGCTATCGAGTGCTGTTAGAAGAAATGGTTGTGCAACGGGCAGGGCGTTGGCCTCCCATCTGGATTGGGGGAGATGGACAAGAGAATACTGAGGAAAATGAGACATTCTCGGTAAATTCATGGGAAGCGGGTGAGATGAAAGCACCGGGTAATGATAGGGAAAATCCAGTGCACGTCTCAGATAGTGGGGAAGATGATTAACTTCAGGGATGTGCAACCAAGAATTAAATTATGTATATAGTGTGTAGGGTGTAAATAAACTAATAGGGTATGAGGTAGCAGTATAAGAAAAAAAAAAGAATACTGTTTGTACTACTTGGATGTCAGATTATTTTGGGTGTGTGTGTGATTCTGACTTTATGTGTCCCCCTATTATCTTTTGACTCTGAATATGAAATAGTAATAAGTTGGTTTACTAAAAGTTTAGATGTGAAAATGGGTGGCTATGTTTAAAGTATTTGATGAGTTGTTTTTATAGAATGATTATTGATGTTTATATTGATGATTGACAGTTACAATCCAGTTATGGCACATTGGGATGAATTGTTTATGGTTCGAGATATATTGGAACACCATGAAATAGAAAGGAGACGTCGGATCCGAATCTATGCAGAGGCACTATATTTAGCTATAGAAGAAATGAGTGACGTGACTCGTAATTAGAGGGAACTTGGACTTGAACAACAACAAGCTCTTGTGCAAAATAGGCTAAATGCACAGCTTGAAATGGTTCAGCGGGCTAAAAACCTAGAAAGAAATGGCAGGATACCCCAAGTTCCAAATAATCAAAATGGATGGTTGGAAGCAGAACCGGAGGTACCGACATGGGAACCGGAAGTAGATTATGATACTTCTACTATTACTGATGTGGAAGATTAGGAGGGTGTGAAGTTTAGTGTGGATAGAATGGAACATGATAGTACTCTAGACTATGAATAAATGTGTATTAAAGTATGCGCATGTATGTGATTATATGTGACTGTATGATAAATAATGGCAAATAAATATAATAAGTTATTAAGTTGTAAATGAGACTTTTAAGCTCAAATAAATTTTGTTTGGAGTATATCTTATGGTTAATTGCTAGTTGGGAAATTAAGATGATTTTTCTTCAAGTAAAGAAACTAATCACTTATGTTTGGTGATTTGGTTAGGAAATGGTGAACACATGGGGAGGAAATGGAAAACAGGTGGATACATCCACTGAGGATGAATACCCAGAGCGACAAAATGAGAATATTGCTAAACCGGGGCATGGAGGGTTACAACAATTATATCAATGTCTGGTTACACTTACTATGCTAATCCAGACTCAGATATCGAGATTACTTGGAACCCGGGAAATACACATGCACAGCCAGAACAGGTGCAATGAGTGAGGAATGTAAAGATTCCTCCAGTACCTAATATAATCGGAGAGAATGAAAGGGAGCGAGAAGAAAATGATCGGGAAGAACTTGAGAATAGGTCAATGATGATTCTGAAGGAATTTCTCAAGCAACGTTCACTATCATTCCAAGGAATTACTAAACCTTTAGAAGCTGAGAAGTGGTTACGACAAGTTAAAAAGGTGATGGATGCTATGGGTATTTCACAACGATATAGAGTGGGATTAGCTACGTATTTGTTTGAAGGAGAAGCTGATCATTGGTGGGATCTTATTAAAGGAAGAGAACCGGTAGAAGTTATGGAGTGGAAAAGATTTGAAACGATTTTTAACTGTAAGTATTTCACCGAAAGTGTTAGGGATGCTTTATTGTTGGATTTCTTAAATTTGCAACAAGGTGGGATGAGCGTAGCTCAATATGAGGCACGATTTGAAAAATTAGCACACCATGCTGGTGAATATGTAGCTAATGATGTTAAGAAGACAAAATGTTTTACTCTTGGGTTGAACAATACAATCAGAGAGGGAATTTCACCTTTGAGGATAAGGAATTTTAGTGAGATGATAGAAGTGGCATATATAATAGAGAAAAAGATGAAATTAAAGATTTTCGAGGTGAGCAAGTTCAAAGGAGGAATAATCAGCCATATAGAAATAATGGAGGATCAAAGAATCATCCATATGCGCGACCTGATAATAGCAACAGAAAGAGCAGACTAAATAATGGATCAGGAGGTGATAAAAATACAAAGGATTGGCATACTTGTTTTCATTGTGGAAAGATAGGACATATGAGGAATAGATGTCCACAATTACCACCGGAAGAGAAAAAGAATTATCCAAGGTATCAACAGGGTGAGGGATCAAAACCACCTGTTATGCAAGGACAAAAGACACCACAAAATCAATCTGGTGGGAAACAAGGAAATCTGAGACATGGACGAGTGTATCAAATGACTGCGAAATCAATTAACTAATGGGTCAAGGTAAGTGTTTTCTTACTTTGGAAGTTTGAATATAGATCCATTGATATGTTTTGTGAGTCCATGGGTGTAGTTAAGTAAATTTTGAGGACGAAATTTCTTTTAAGGTGGGTAGATTGTAATAACCGATTTCGATAATTAGGAATCGTTAGATGTGTATGGTTAGGAGTTCAAATCGATGTCCGAAATTTTAATCGATAATTTTATAGTGCTTGATTTAATATATATGTAATTTTGAAATAATAATAATAATAATAATATTAATATTAATTAATTTTCAAAATTAGAAAAAATAAAGAAATTATCAAACTGCCACAGACAAAATAGAAAAATTACCAAACTGTCATTGAAGTTTCAAGACTCTTCTACACATGCAAGGTGGCTGATGGAGGCTTGTTAGTTTGCATGGAGGACACCCAGCTGCTTGGGGAAACCTGAGTAAGTTGCTTGGGGGGGGGGGATAAAATAGAGAAGGATTCGATGGGAAGAGAGAGAGAGGAGAAAAAGAAGTAGAGAGAGGAGAAAAAGAAGTAGAGAGAGAAAATAAAGTCTTTGAATTTTTAGATTTCTTGCAGAGGCTACTTCGAGCACTAAGAGGTATATTCACAGCCTAATATGGATGCTAGGAACTCATATATGTATTTAGATTTTCATTTGATTTAGTATTCATGCATGAATTTGTGTTTTAAAGTTTAGTGGGTTTTTGGATTTTAAAACAGGTTTGAGATTTGAGCATGATTTAGGTAAATTGTTTGGCATGATTTAGGTTTGAGATTTGAGCATAATACCTCTAATGCAGCTCTTTATGTTGTAGATCACAAATTACATAATAGAACATGAATTTTAGCTATAAAATTTAAAATATTTGATATTCTATCTTTGATTGAATTATTTTTAGTTTAAATATAATATTTTAAACTTGAATAGTTTAAATAATACATACATATAAACTTTAGAGGGTCTGAATATGATTTATTAATGAATATTCTAACGGATATTGATGGCAGAGATCTAAGTGTTATTTTAAGGGGTTTATATATA